TGTTGTTTTCTTATTGATTGTACGACTACATATGATATGCAACACATGAAGACGTTGTTTGTAATTTCCTCAATTTTAAAAAAATATGTATTTTGCTGCACCCAAGCTCAATTCCAACCAATCTATGAAGATGCAAGACAACTGCAGTTCTAAAGATTTTCTTTAACACCAATTACTGGAGGAGTTACTGTAAGAAATCCTTGTATTCTGGGGTTTGAAGTCTACACTTCTCCAAGTTGTTAAGGTTTCGAAAACGGTTATTTAGACCGTTCAACATTTCATTCTTAATCCTTAAATTGATTATGCACTTAATCACTGATCTGTATTTTCACCATGCCAAGCCATTATTTTCTTACCTTCTTACTGCCTATGCCAGAATAGCTAGATTCATGAAAGATGTGAAGGCACCATCAAATAAAGTTAAGGGTATTCTCTGAACCCAGTAAAGTAGTCTGAATTTATCCATTGGGTTCAGACAAATCTAAAATTCATCTGATGATAGCTTTGTTCTAGCAAATCAGTTTCCTCAGATGACCTGAGAAACAGAGTTCTTAAAACATAGACCAGCTTTTCTCCATCCCCTTTTTTATTTTATATATGATATATGTATGTACGTAGATAGGTATGTATATAAAATAAGCTTCTATATAAGGATCTCAACATTTCAGGATAGGGAAGCACTGTATATCAGGACAAAGCATACAATTTAATCTATCATGATTAACCTTCTCAGCAATTTTCATCAACATCAGAAAATGTGGATTCAGGTAACAGAATAACATAGTTGGAAGGGACCTGGAAGGTCTTCTAGTCCAACTCCTTGCTCAAGCAAGAGACCCTATATCATTCCAGACAGTAAAATCACCCCACTCATAAATTATGGACAGTACAAAATATTTATTATGGAGGAAAAAGCTGTAATAGGCTAGCTCTTATAATTTTACCTGATAGTGATACAATATCTGATTAATATCTGCATATACATTTGGTTTATTTTAATTTTACCTTTCAGTAACAGCTGTGTATATATTTGTATGTTTTGTATGTAGGTATGTTCTGATAGTTAGATCTTCCGGAACAAGAAACATGTTAATACCTCCTAACTTGTTTATAGGAGGCCAGCATGTTAAACAACTTGGCTGATATCCAAATTGCAAGGCTTTGTAAGATTATTATTGCAAGGTATCATTACAAGATTCTAAACTGTTCCAAGTCAAACTGCATTCCATTAATATAGAATACTATGTTTATCAGTGGCTAAATAAACCATTCCTTCATCTGTTTAACTTACAGTTTAAAATCTTTCAATCTCTTTTTTCATGATAATCTAATAAACCATAAATTTACTTTCTTAAAAGCAAAATTATTCTGTGACTAGTAAAGCCTCCCTCTGTGACAGCATGAAAGCAGAGTAAGTATTAAAATAGTTTATTGTTAGATCCTGCATCTACATAAAATACATTAATTTTAAAATGTGCCTTTTCATTGTAAATTGTACTTGGCAAAAATTCCAAAGATTTTGTTGATTATATATTTACTACAAAGCATTGACATTATGCAAATATCCATTTTTTCTCTAGAGAATTTATTTTCTTTTAATTATTGCAGTTAAAAAACATATGGTAAATATTAATTATGCATATTTATATTTGTTTAAATCTGCTTATCAGCTAAGATCCCCTGTATCTACATCTATCCTTCCTGGCATAATTCCCTGTTTGCTATGTTTTATTTTGTACTGATATTTCTCACCCATTTTATTATTCTTCTGTTTTTCTCATTTTTTACTTGTAGAATATATTTGGCTGCTGCCTAAATTAGAATGTATCATTATAATACTACTGAACAAGGATTTTGACAATAATCAAATTGAATGGTTATGTCTATCTCTTACTCAAGCATATAAATCTTGATGGCACAGTCATATAAATGCTAGACCTAAGGAATAATGTTTGGTTGTTAGGAAGAATTCCTGCTAAGTACCCTTTAAGCAAACTATGGATATGATTAGGACAGCTAGGAGAAAGAAGGAGTTGTTAACATGCTACCATGCTGATCTTTCAGGAAGCTCATACAATGTAGTCTTAGTCAAGGCAGAATTTATCATGTATAATTGATAAAAGTAATACAAGAACATGCTGTGCTTCCTTGCTGTACAGAAATGCTCTGTGCTGGGTGAAAAGATCTTGCCACTAATAGAGCATTAAATGGGAAATCACTGGAATCACAGGAACTGGAAACAACAGGTTTTTGTCTGTATGTGAGAAATTATTAATTGTATTATTTGAGATTTTTAGCCCAAAACTTTGCTAGCATTAGAATTTCACCTACAATTCCAATTACTTCTGGTGAGGACATGATGAGGTGAACATTCTTGAGATGGTGTTGCCACAGAATTCAATGTCCAGAAGGCAAATTCTGGCCACTTTCAATCTCTCCAGAAAAAAGGAGAGCTCAAGAGATTGTACATATGCACTCTGGACAGCTGCTCCTTGTGAGTGGATTGCAGGAACCAAAGTTTTTGTGGTAAACTCATGATAGAAGTGGCTGAGAGTCATGAGAGTTCCATCAAACTCATAGCCATTAACATTGTAGTGTATCTGGATAAAAAGTTTAGTTGAGCCTCATTTCTTTATCACTTTGGGAATTATATTTTAATTGCATTTCAACTATTAAGAACCTCATGAATGAAGGCAAATATATATGTCCCAAGATAATGTTGCAAGATTGAATCTGGGTCAGTCACCGGACCAGAAGTTTACTCTTCCAAGCTTTCAGACTTGTGCTGAAGCCCATCTTCAGAGAACTTCTTTCTACTGGGATATGTGCTTTGGGCTATTCTGTGAGTTGTATTTATGTGGTGCCTTCCTATTGGTTGATTAGTGTGTTAATGGCTGGCAATTGGCTGTGGTCTCCTTGTGCTGCCAAGCCCACGGCTCCTAAGTACCTGATAAGATGATGGTAAATGAGCACTTGTGTTGGTTGACAGAATTAAGAGCCTATTAAGAACCTTTACAACGTTGAGTTTCCTTCAATCCTTGAATAAAGAAGCACTAAGGACAAGATTAAGGCTTTAAAACAAGGGGATAAATAATAGTAGGATGATTAGAATCTTGATTTCAGAAAGTTATTAACAAATTAAGGGTCCAGAGAGATTTGAAAACATTTTGCAATTAATTATAAAAACCTTTCCATGGGAAAATGTGGTTTAGAAAAGAACAGAAAAAGATAGTTTGAAGGTTGGACACTAGAAGAAACTAGAGGAATTATAAATCATAAATAAAGAACATTTAAATTCAAATCACTAATACAGAATGCAGCAAAACATTTTAACTCTGGATGAATTCAAGGATATTTGGAAAGAATGGATTCAGAAGTTAATCTTAAAATTGTCTGTTATGGAAAAACTGGATTTAAATGAGATTATTAAAGAGGAACAAATTTTACTAGATAATACCCAGACTGAGGCAAATTCAAACCTGGATTCATTTATTTGTTTGTTTGTTTAATATTTCATATTTCTTAACCACCCATCTCCCTCTGATTTAATAATGACGAGTTATAAGAATGTGAAAAAAGATGTTACAGTGGATATACAAATGAAATGGCTGGTGTCTTAATAATTAAAAGAATATACAAATAACAAACTAGAAAAATGACTGGGAAAATGTTCTTATTTTGGATTTATAAAAGAGATTTGTTAAAGGATTTTCAGAGAAGAAACAAAAATAAAAGAAAAAGAAAAAAATCAAGTTCTGAGACATTATTTAAAGTGTTTAAATATCAAGATTGTTAACACCAAACAGAAATAATACAAAGTTGGTTTATTTAATCAATATTAAAATATTTCTGGTAGCCCAAACTTTAATGGCTTTTTGCTGACTAGGACTGAATGACAAAACTCCAAAAATCTGGAAAAATATATTTTTGTTGCATTTTTAGAATAAGTGATAAATTAATTTGTAAATAGTAAAGGGGAGGAATATATATAAAGGGAAGAATGTGTGTGTGTGTGTGTGTGTGTGTGTGTGTGTGTGTGTGTGTGTGTGTATTAAGTGTTACAACCCCTGGTATGCCCAAATATGGGAGGAAGCCCACTGCTTCCACTCTCTGTCCATCGGCTCGTCACAAGAGACCATCCAGACAGAAACCCAATATTTTTACTGTTGCCTTTGTTACATTTGTGTTGTATTTGTGCTGATAAATAAGTGGAAGCAGTGGGCTTCCTCCCATAT